TTAAAGAATTCTAGACGTGTTAATTAACTAAAGTTTGTATGATGAGATGGGTTCTTCTCCAAAATATGAATTCTAGAATGCACATATATGTTTTACCATCAAAGTATACTTGTATGGTCAAACATTTTTCAAAGATTGTATGGTTTGATTCTGATTCTATATTGCCAAATACCATTGTTTCCTTCTTGATTTTTAAAGATTATAGAGTTCGGAGAGAGTTTTATTTTTGACCTAACTCATTTATGTTATAGCCTAAACGCCCAGATGAAAGAATGATAATTATTTTACATTTATATGATGAGATGGATTCTTCTCCCAAGTTAGAGTTGGATTAGACATAATAATAGTTTAATTAGGAGTAATCAAATCCATATACATTAAAAAAATACATGCATGCATATATACAACTAAGAGTAGTGGGAATAAAAGTTTATACTAAAGTGTTTTAAGTCTTATACGTCACATTGGTGAATCTGAGTCCATTCCAACTAACTGGATTATTGATGTAACCAATTTCCTCATTGATAGTAACATTCTTAATTACTATTTTAATCCTTTAAAGATCATGAGTTGAGACTTGAAAGATAAGAGAATTTTGTTGAGATTTTGATTAGAGAGGTGGTTTAGCAAGTTAAACATTATTAACTAATTAAAAGGCGGTGTCCGTACATGATTGATCTTTTTGTAGAATCAAACTTTTCTCTACTTTCCCTAACTCAAATTTTCTTTTCTTTTTTCCAAATTTGATGAATAATTTGGTAAATAAAACCATCACTAGTTGGCCTGATGATAAAAGAACAAAGAGAGGTTCATGAGCTTTTGAGTTCGAGTCCCCCTAAACACTAATACGGGTGACTATTGAGGCTCTTATCTGGCCGGCAGTTCCAAGAATCTAAAAGATGAGTTGAGATACATGCAAGCTGACCCGGACACCTCCGTACATGATTGATCTTTTTATAGAATCAAACTTTTCTCTACTTTCCCTAACTCAAATTTTCTTTTCTTTTTTCCAAATTTGATGAATAATTTGGTAAATAAAACCACCACTGGTTGGCCTGATAATAAAAGAACAAAAAAAGGTTCATGAGCTCTTGAGTTCGAGTCCCCCCAAACACTAATGGGGGTGGCCATTGAGGCTCTTATCCGACTGGCAGTTCCAAGGCTCTGAAAGATTAATTGAGATACACGCAAGCTGACTCTGACACCTCCGATGATAATAAAAAAAAATTTGGTAAATAAAATGATGTTATTTAATTTCTATCTAAACTTCATGTGGCATGACAGCCAATATATTCATGGTAGCTTTGGGTTAAATCATGTAATATAATAATAAATTGATAAATTCCATTGTCTTATCGATACCTAATATTAAAAAAAAAATAGCTTTTTGTTGTCAATTATTTAAGTCGACACAATTAAAATAAGCCGAAATGGCATATGCTATTGCTAATTTAATCAATTACTAAGATAGTTGGCTCTTTCTATATTGATCTATTGCTATTCAAAATTAGATATTTGTTAGTGTGATGGCTTGAAACGTTGACGTTTTATGGTTTAAATGAGATGACGTCATTTTGAGCAGATTTGAAGAATTGATCCTGAGCATTGATGGAGAGAAGATCCAAAGGCTGTAATTAGTTTTTCGGTCAACCATATAAAAGCTGAACTTTGGGCAGATTGGTAATACACAGTATTTTCGTGAGAACCTCTCTCTTCTTCGTTGGAGCAAAAATCGAATCTGTTAGGGTTTACGAATTTTGTGATTGAATCTTGTAACTTTGTGATTGAGTGACTGGTTTCAGGTCATTCAGGTGTATTTGATTACGTTACCAGTAGGGATTCCAAGGGTAGAGTCTCTAGGGTGAGTTACAGATTGTAGAAGGGGATTAAAGGGTGTTAATACTGTGTGTAATTTGAACTGTGATCTTGATAGTGTTAGTGCAGCGAGCTTGCTTGTTTCCTGAGCTCAACGTGGAAGTAGCTTGCTCAGATTGAGCAAGTGAACCATGGTAATTTCTTGGTGTTCTTGTGTGTGTGTGGTCTTTCGTGATTCTTGTTTGTGTTGGTTGTTGTTGGTTAAATTAGTGCGTGAGATATAACAATATTAATTTAAACATTTGTAAAATTGGTGAAATCAAGCATCAAAGTAGTTAAATAATTAATACTCATTATATATCTCAAGCTAAAGAGAATATTTCATTCAGGTTCCACCTTCACATCAACCTGTGTTTCTCTTCATACTCTCCATTAGAAGGGTTATTTTTAACACTAATCTCTTCTAATAAGTTATATTAATCCATTAATCTATGCATGCAATATCAAGGAAACATAATTAATTAAATATATAGAGGTATCGACTTTTTCCCGCCTATAAACTTTTAAATACCACTTTACTATCCAAATTTATATTTCGGCGGTGAACGAAGAGTAAATTTGGTCCAGGCTGTTGGAGTTTTTGAAGAGGGAAGTTCGATGAATCTATTAGTGGTACAATGTTGGGTTTTGGTGATTGGAATTTGACTTAGGAGCGGTGGTTGCGCAAACCCTAATCGCTTGGTTGTTGGTGATTAGCGGGGTCGATAGGAGTAGGGTTTGAGGGGTTTTAGTGAGTGATGATCAGAGAAGAGAATGGTGATGGTGTGGGGTCACAACTGTAAGTAATTGATCTATCATACGCAGCTAAAAACAAAAATTCAATCGGTAAATCAATTACCTTTCTTTGTCTAGATCCGAGTATAGATTATATCGTTTATATGTTTATAAATAAAAATCTATATAAAGTAAATCCATTCAATGATTAGAATACTTACGTACGTTTGGAGGCTTCTTCGAATATCTCTGATTTCGAACAGGAATACTGTTCACGGTTATTGTTCATCGTCTACTGTTCACATGATTTTTCGCCAATTAATCCAAAGTAGGATCGCACTCACGGAAGTCCACACGAAGATAATCCGTAGAACTCTTGATTATTTTGCTAGAACAATCAAAGGCTTCAAGAATCAAGAAAGAAGAACAAGAAAAGTTTTCTTCTTGAGAGAGAGAGAGAGATGGGGTGGCTAGGATTTTAATTAAATGAATAATTCCTTTTTGTTTTAATTTTAAGTTGCACTTATATAGTGCAACCATTAGAACCCTTATTCCACTTAGGAATAGCCATGAGCTCCAACCCTAGTTCATCTTTGCAACCAAACACACCTTTTATGGTATTTTAATTAATTAATTATTATTATAATTAAAATCAATTAATATATAATAATATATTAGCATTCTATTAATAATAATAATTCATTTAAATATATACATAGATATATTTAAATATAATCTCACTAATTTAATTTTAATATTAAAATTAAATACAGGCAACAACCTCAGCAAATTTAATTGCACTGTGAGATTACCAAAATACCCCTTTGTCCTGAAAGACGAAAATACCTTTCTCACAAATTGATTCTTAAATTATCTTTTAAGTGTATGACCCGTAGGCTCCTTATCATATCGGCAGTGAGTAGTATCGCGATTAACACCAATTAATCATCTCACTAGACACAGACCAAGATTGACCCCTAGCAAGGCATCATGGCCACTCGATAGATTCGGATTCAACGAAACGGGCAGTCTGTCAATGGTATGGTTACCGTGCAATCAAATCATTTCATCAACTGTTATCTCATCGAGACTGAGGTACAGAAATAGTGTCAACCTCAGATATCCTCGACACGTTTGTATTCAGTTATTGGACCAATGTCAGGAATATTAAATTGGATTGAGTATCAACTCAATCCCACTGTGGTCACAGATTTAGTGTCATTGCCATTTACTGAATTACCCAATGAGATAACTTCTCCCGTACCCAGGAGTGATGAATCATTTGTCGATCCATCATAGTCTCGATACACTTCTCAATGTAGTCAATCACTACCGTATTGATAGCTCTAAATAGAACTACGTTGGCCTAGTGTCAAACTACATCAATTGGTGCACAAGGTGCTCTGGTGATCTCAAGTCTAAAGATCACATGTACCACCATCTGTTAGATGATTTATTCTATAGACATTGGGGTTACCATCAATATGGAATCCTGTGGTGAGTCTGTTCAATGAACTTGCCTCTAGCAAGCACCTATGTGTTGTACCAGGTTGTCAGCAAACAACCTTGATAAGTGAGATCAGTCACTGCCTTTCGATAAGGTCGTTCAACACTATGATAGTCTTACCATATTATCTGTGTCCTTGATCAGAATAATACTGGGGCTACGGACGTTTCTAGAATGACCACCATATGTGATCATAGGGTTTTCACTATCAAGATTTGAAACACTTGATACTCTCATCACGGTTCTGCCATCCTAAGGACATATATCATTGCATACACGATATAGAAGAATATGCCTTTTATTGATAAATAAACATTTATTATAGAATCAATTTTACAATAATTGATTGACTCTAGGGCACCTACTCTAACAACAACAATGCTGGAATAAGAAATGAAATATAAATTTGGGTAATAAAGTGACATTTTAAAAGTCTGTGGATGAAAAAATATCATCATTAAGCCATTATTCGGGTGGACAAAAGTCGTTTACTCTAAATATATAGTAAACTTAATGTTTTTGTTAAGTAATTAAGATTAATTATATATTAATAGTAATTAAGCCTAGACAGAATCTTCGGGATGGAGTAAATAAAACGCTATAAGATCAGTTTCATTTAACACACTACACATAAATATATTATATATACTTAGAATCTTCATGTGTAGTTCATGGACAAATCCCATCTGATATTTTTATTTTTATTCAATTTTTTAAGATAACCTATCAGAATCAGAATGCCTATCTCCCAATTCCCACACATAAAGAAATGTGATATATGTATATATAGATATTTTTTATTTCCATGGATTAATTTAATTAGATTCTGAAATCTCCCTTCTCTCCACTATATAAACCCTTCTTCCCTTTCATATTATTGCACGATCAGACTTGCAACCTTTCAACTTTCTCTCTCCCCCAACTCTTCTTTTCTTTCCTTTCCTTTCTCCTACATTTTCTTTTTCTCATCAAATGGAGGGAAACCAGCAACTTCGTAGACAACTTGCAGCCATGAGACAGTCCCTCTTTGATCAGGTTTCGTTATAATAACTCCTTTTCTTCTTCCTCTTCTTCTTCTTCTTCTTCACATTTTTGTAACATGCACTTACAAAAGTTTCTCTTCATTTCAAGCCACATTAATCATAAATAAAAATTTCTATCTCTAGATCTTTCTCTCTTTGGAGCTGCATTTATCTACATATTATTGTGTTTGTACGACTGGAAGAGAGCATGCACAAGTTTTCTATTTTAAACAGAGTATGAGAGTAAAAGTCTTTTCAGTTAAAACTTCTTGTTTTTTCGTGTTTGTAATCGACTTGACAGTTGAATTTAGCTTGTTCTAGTGCATGTTATATGTGAGAGGTTCTGTTTATATATAATTTTCTTTGAGTTTGAGACGGGAAAATGATTTTTTGGGAGCATTTTCAGGGATACCTTGATGAACAGTTCATCCAGTTGGAGGAGCTTCAAGATGATGCTAACCCTAGTTTTGTAGAGGAAGTTGTCACATTGTACTACCGAGATTCCGCCAGGCTAATCACTAACATAGACCAGGCACTGTGAGTTTATGATAAAACATCAATCTTCTTTATTAATTTCAATACTAATAAATAAATTAAGCACTAATTAATGTTGTTAAATTATTTGCAGGGAGAAGAGCCCTCTTGATTTTAACAAGTTAGATGGCTATATGCATCAGTTCAAGGGAAGCAGCTCAAGGTAATTAATTAGTTAATTAGTTAAATTAATATTGGTGATTATTATAAATCAATATATCTAATAATAAAAAGTGTATCTATCAAGTATATTCTTTGTTGGTTTTTATCACAACAACTTCATAAAAACATTCTTTCTTATTGGGTGCAGCATTGGAGCCAAAAAGGTGAAAACTGAGAGCACACAGTTCAGAGAATATTGCAAGGCAGGAAATGGAGAAGGGTAATAATAAAAATAATTATTTTTTTTATTTTTTATAATCAGAGGTGGGTGTTCATGTTAGTTTGTGTGTACCTCAACTAATCCCTTGGGGTCTTGGAACTGTCAACTGAGTAAGAGTTTTAGTGGTCACCCCTATTAGTGGCTGAGGGGACTCGAACTCAGGAGCTCATCAAACATTTTTTATTTATTATTATTATTAAGCTACCTGGTTAAAATAATAATAATTATTAATATTAATCACCTGACACTCCTAGAAATTGACAGTTATTTTACCTGTGTGTTTGCGGTTTGCAGAAGTAGAAGGACTTTCCAACAACTGAAGAAGGAATATGCAACACTGAAGAAGAAACTAGAAGCTTATTTTCAGGTGGCTGAGCTGAACCCTGTTTGTGTTGTTTTTACCCAGAAAAAGTAAATTATGTGTTTTTAACTGATAAAATTTGATGTTGTTTTTGATGTTATTCAGCTAGCAAGACAAGCAGGGCCTATGGAGACTGCTAGTGGTCGGAAATAATTAATTGCAGAAGGGAATGCAATGAAAAAGTGAAATGTTGTTGTTGAAGTTTGTGCTGTGTAGTGTATGAGCAGCAGTAAAAATGGAGCACTTGAAAGGGCTTTTGGGTTGGGTTGATGAGTGATGTTAATCTATGTATTAGAATTTGGTTTCCTGAATGAAAGTTTTGCTGTGTGTTAGGCTTCTCAGTTTCAGAAAAAGATCATAAAAAGCCCTGTAATGTAAACTCAGTTCAATACTTCAATTATATGCTCTGTTTTTCAACTACTTGTAATTTCTCTCCTCCTTGTTTAATTCACAATAAATCATGGTGATCACAAACCAAAACCATTGCTCGTTTCCGTTTCTAGGTTTGACTTATTATCTTGAGTCGTTATAAGATATATACCTTAAACTTTTAGATCAAATAGTCTTTTAATGCCGTTCTTATGAAATTTAAGCAAATGTAATCATTTTTTTTACCTATAAAAGATAAATGAATAATTTTTCATTCTCTGTTTCATGACGATGAAAAAACTTTCCTATAATAGATGTATATACAACCAACTAATCATGAAATGTAGATGATTTTTCCAAGGAAAAGTTTTCATTGTTTATGATCGATTACTTCGGTCTAGCTCTTCTTTCAAGAACCAAACTGAAATCTCTCATGAATTTTCAAACCGCGGAAACTTGCATTATATTTCATTTGCTATTATGTTATTAACTTCTAATAGCTACATGCAATTATATATGTCACTTCCCTTTATATAACTATTGATCAAACTTTGAGTTATAATATGATTATGCTTGCATATGATTATCGAAAGACATAAAATTCTATTTGACTATAATGAAAAAAAAAAAAAAAAAAATCCCTTTAGTAATCACTAATAATAGAAACATCTTTTATTGAAATATAGTATTTCATTGAAGATTTCAAGTCAACAACCTCAATTATTGGGCGTTCAATAAACTTAATATACAAACCGTATACACAAAAGAGTCTTTTATACAATAAATATATGTACAACTAAATTAATTAATTATTAATATGATATTTTATGATTAGTTGGTTGTATATAGTATATACATCTATTATAGGAAAGTTTTTTCATCTTCATGAAACAGAGAATGAAAAATTATTCATTTATCTTTTATAGGTAAAAAAAAAAAAATGATCGCATTTACTTAAATTTCATAAGAACGACGTTAAAAGACTATTTGATCTAAAAGTTTAAGGTATATATCTTGTAACAACTCAAGATAATAAGTCAAACCTAGAAATGGAAACAAGTAACGGTTTTGGTTTGGGATCACCATGATTTATTGTGAATTAAACAAGGAGAGAAATTACAAGTAGTTGAAAAACAGAGCATATAATTGAAGTATTGAACTGAGTTTACATTACAGGGCTTTTTATGATCTTTTTCTGAAACTGAGAAGCCTAACACAAAGAGCAAAACTTTCATTCAGGAAACCAAATCTAATATATAGATTAACATCATTCATCAACTCAACCCAAAAGCCCTTTCAAGTGCTCCATTTGTACTGCTGCTCATACACTACACAGCACAAACTTCAACAACAACATTTCACATTTTCATGGCACTCCCTTCTGTAATTAATTATTTGCGACGACTAGAAGTCTCCATAGGCCCTGCTTGTCTTGCTAGCTGAATAACATCAAAAACAACATCAAAATTTATCAGTAAACTCTCTTTATTTATGACAAGTTATTAACAAATTGAATGTGTATGAGTGTATTATGTATGTAATTTGGGGAATTCTGTTGGAGTTGGCGACCACTTCAACAATAGAGGTCGCAGTTGCTCTGCACGTCGCGCTCGGGGTTTGTAAGTGGTTTGGGTTTATACCATGTATAATCGTGGTAGGATTCTCTAAGGATTATAACTTCTAATAGGGTTGAGCTTAGGGATAAGGATCCTAGTTGTATTATGTCTCTCTTCATAACCTAGTCTATAAAGACATTATTTTCTTGTATAAGTGATAGAAAAATCATAACAAATACACGAATGTAGAAGTTTAGAGATGACGAGAAATAAGGTCACTTATGTAGATTTAGTTTGTGACTGAGGCCTCTATTTGTCTTCTATTATTCTTGAGTATGAAGTTCTGTACAGGCTAGTTGAGATTGTTGTTTACAGTTGGTTCATGATGTGGTACACCATAATTGTGAAATGGAGGCCGACTACATTGAGCTAGTACTATTGTTTGAGTTGGGACACTTCAGTGTTGACACGATCAGAAAAGGGTTAAGATTGTTAGAAGAAATAAGTTCAAAAGTTGGATAGAGATTTTAGTTAAGGTTCTGTTCCTTGAGTTTCAGTTTACCAAGCTTTATATCAGCCTATTCAATTTCATAATCAAAATTTTAGGGTTGGAGATGACAGAAAAGTTGAATAAAGACATTGCTGCTCCTTTTATTTGCCGTGTGTAGTCTATAGTTGGGATGGCTACTCATTGGCCTAGGTGAGAGAGAAGACTGTACCTTCAGCAGTTTAATTAGGAACAAACTATGCAATTAATGCATCAAGCTATATGTCAACTTGTAAATAAGGGAAAAACGAACATAATCTGGTGGGGTTGATCTTCAGTATTCTACCAATTCAAGGGCAAGAGCACCACTGACGCAAGAGTTAGAAAATAAACTCTCAGAAATTATTTGTCAGTGGAACTGGAACTCTTCTTAGAGTCAAAACTTGGAATTGTTGCTTGAAAGTGGGAAAATCTTGCATTCTTTAACCTCTTGAGATCAGATAAAGAACACTTGGAGAAAGAACTTGATGAAACTTTGGTTACAAGTGTTAAAGTAATCTCTTCCTAAAATGTATATGGCATAACTTATTTAGTTTAACTATCATAACTGAATCTACAATTCTGGAAGCTAGCTTCTATAGGCAACTTTATCAGGTATATGCGGTTTACCTTTGTTTTAGTTGATTTTTTATGGAAAGCTTGGTGAAGTGGTTTTCACCATTATGTTTGAGCATTATAAGAATCATAGGCATCAGCATAGTACTTCTATTTGTAGCAGCCTCCTATTGTCTTCACAGAACTCTTTGGATTCAAATGGAGACATATGAGTGATGTATAGAGAGTAAGGAAACCATACACAGAAAACAGGACGGGCAACGAAATTTTTTTGATGTACGGAATAAATTTTCGCTGAGTTATCTATGTTTTTTATGTTTTCAACATCACAGCACCGGATAATGTGAAATAGGAGATTAGTGAACACACTGCATGTTTATGCATCTATGATGTTTGGCTGTCAAAAATCATTTATTATTTTGATAATAAGTATTATGATATTAACGAACTATAAGCATAGGGCACATAAATGTTGTTGGACCATATAACTGTATCACTACTTTTAGAGTATTCTGGACAGAATATAAGAATGCGTTATCTAATGCAATAAAAGTTGAAAGTGCATTAAGCTGAAGAGGATTTATCTTATTAAAATTTCTAATATCAGCATGTGTTGCATTTGTTGATCCAATTAATGTTGACTACTTTTAAATGCAAGTTTTCTAGGTTTTAGGTGCTAACCAAACGAAATTATATAATTGCAGATGCAACTAAGACAAGTTTCTTGATGGCTGTAATAGCTCTTCTTTGGAATACATGAAAACTGTTTCGTATGCTCATATTTTTGACATACATGTGTCTAAGTTATATAGTATTTCAGTATTTTGATGTTGCAAGCCAATGCTGGACTTTCATATACCACATGTACTTTCAATTCTTGGATAGGGGAAACTGAAAGTGTTATGTGCCTGTTAAGTTCAGTACAAGATCAACCACCCTTTCATTTTGACCAGACTTTTAATCTACTTAGTCTTCCTGGTGGCATTTGCTAAGATTCAAATAATTTCTAGCAAGCTGGATTTGGATAAGATTTAGTTTCTTTAAGTCAAAGCATCGACTCAAATTCAATGTCTGAGTTTCAATCTTTTGATTAAACCATGCTCATCGTAGTCCAGAAATAAACTGCATGTATCAAGATCTTATAATAGCTCTTGAAAATTTCCCAAGTGCTTTATAGATTCATATGCAACGTTAGAATATGATAGCATGATATTTATTATTGGTATATTCAGAATGAGTTACTGTTATTTAATTTTTCTTCGTGCCTCTTGGGAGAGCAAAGACCAATCTCTCAGCTTCATGCATTTGAGCTCATGTTTGCCTGAATCCTACATCTTTATTTTCTATATAATTCGCTTAGAAAAAGTATTTACTTTTCTTTTGGTTCATGTTTGTTATTAATATTTGGAGTTATCTGCTGTAGCATGCAAACTGGGGTCAAACTTTATTGCTACAGAAGGGAAATGCTGATGTCTTTGAGCAATCCATTTGCATGTTAATCTTAACGACTTCCTTGGCCCGTCATGGCTCTCTCTCAAAAGTTATTCAGAATTACTTTTCCTTATTTGGCGATGTTCTATCTTCACTAATTAGGTGGCTCTTTGATCATTCGATGGTTCTTCACTTTTCGGTTGCTAGACGGGATCAAGTCTTTCAGTTTATTTGGATAAATTTCGGCGGATGAAGCAAAGCTGCTATAGTGCGGTTGCTGCTTTCAATATGTCTACTAAGAATGGATTCTTATGAGATGAGCAGAATTGATGCTGCAAGGAGAATATCTACATAAAGGTTAGTGAGAAGCAACTTTAAAGCTAACTTCTGTATGATTGCATCAATGCCCACAAGTTCGGTTTATTCGCATAAGCACATTCTTGATGAGTGAAAAGGGATGTTTTTCGAGAAGGCCAGCCAGCAGCAAATTCTTTTATGTGGCACAATTAGCTTACTTCCTTTTAAGCCAAATAGCATTACACAAACTCATGTTCCTTTCTTATCGTTGAATCTACTAGCTTACTCATTTTGCAAGTGCTAGTTGCTGATTGGTTGATTTTTCATTTAGGATAAAACCGGTTTCCCTTGTGAACACTCAATTATTTGGCCTGGTTTGTCAAGAATCAGAACAAAGTGTTTCTTCTGACTTCTGTTTACGAAAATGAACACATATATTTCAGTAGTAAAATCATATCTCAACTGCATACGTCATAGTTACCGGCAAAGTGATTTCGAAGGTTCAAAGTAATTCATAGCTGTGATTCAATGAACTGGACAACACCATCTAGTGAGAAGACTGCCTATATTTTGAATATATTGCCTTTATATGATTCTTAACTCTGCATAGATTAGCAGCACATAGATAGACAAATGGAGCAGGATCATTTTCACAAGAAATTGTTGACAATGTGTTGATAGCTACCACAGCTGTTATCGCCAAAATGT